CTAAACCCGAGTACCTGATTATTGGGTCCTTTGGACCCTTGGGGTAATTGCTACATGAGTGATCCACTTCAGACATCTTGTGGTATCTAGGGTCAAATTAGGGCGTAGGGCTTTCTGGGAAGGTCAGTCGCAGAAGGGCGAGCGCCAGACGGCGTGTTGCTTACGATATAAAACTTTTGACTGTCGATGACTAGTTGAGCAAGCTCAAATCTTGCAGACTCGATGCAGGGAGCCCTGAAGTGTGCATGCTGCGCGAAAGTTTGCGGTTGTATCTGTCATTTCTACACAGTGATGATCGACTTGCGCCCTCAGGCTCTTTAGGCTTTAAAGTACCTATATAGGGACCCCGTTAAGGCTTAAGCATCTACCACAGAGGTACATGGAGCCTTTGGGTTGTGTACTAGCCAATGGTATGTCCTGTTTGACATTGTCCTTCAAGAACACGTCCGGACTTGCTGTACGTTGGACACCTGCAGCGTTGCCTGTATTCGGCAAGCTTACCTGGAGTTGACGAGAGCAGCGTGAGGTGAGCTCTATATACATATGTACAATATGACAACAGTATACCGGAACCTGCCCCCACACCCCACTGAAATTATCAAGACCCCTCATGGTGGCGATAACATTGACATGGGACTTGTCAAGTGCACCTACCGATCTGCATGAAGCAGAGATTCTGTTGCGGACTGAGAGGGCCGCAGGTATACATCATAGGTTGCACGTATGCAGGATATCTGTATATACACACATGCATATGTACATAATATATGTGTGCACAGAGAGAAACTGCTCTGGACATGCATGCTGTCTGTATGGATGCATGTATGTGTGTACGATCGAACGTATTGGGGTATTGGTAGGTAGGCAGGTGAGTTCGTGGTCAGGTAGATTGGTTGGTAGACGGGCAGCCAGGGGGGGTGGCGTTTGCGGAGAGGGGTGGGGGTCGGTGGAGCTGCAGCTGCAGGGACGGCTTGCAGACAAGGCCAGCATCGTACGCAAGCCCCCACGCAAGCCATAAATCCTCTGACGTAGCGCAGCAGCGCCTGCTCCTGCTTTTGTTAACCTTAACCTAAACTTCAAACCCTACAACCAACCCTAAACCCCGCCTAAATGCAGGCTCTAAGCCTAAACCAGAGCATAAACTATCAACCCTAGCGAACCTACACGCCAAACCCTCCCTAAGCCCTTGACGACTCGAAGCCATATACCTTTTAACCCAAAACCCTAAACCCCAAAACTCAAAAGCTTAAGATGCTTAAGCCAGACCCAAAACCCCAAAACCCCCACAACCACCCCACAGGGGGAAGAGGGAACCCACTCTCCATCCCACAGGAGGGGAATCATCCTGGACCATAGACCATGGAGGGGGCGGAGGGGGGGCGGCGGAGCGCTTGACCATGTGTGTGCATGTTTGTATGCATACAAATCTAGGTGTACGCAGTTACAGCCTTTCATTAGTTTCTCCCGTTGGAACACCAAGCAGACACATTTGGTCAGTTCCACATACATCGCACCATTACTTTGAGTGCACAGCATGCGTCTCTTGATGTGTCGAGTGCTGGGGGGTATACTTTGTGAACTATGATCGGAGGTCACATGCACAGCAGGCAACCGTGTAACTAAGTCGCCAACACGGGAATAGCTTTGTCTTACCAAGGCAAAGTCCCTTTATCTAGGTCCTTCAACATCAAAAGCTACAGCAAACCGTTGATGCCCACGCTTTCCCTGGGGATCCAAAAGCCTACTGTTTCAGTGGCCAGACCCTACAATTAAGAGGTCATAACCTACGAGTTTAGAGGGTTTGGGATATAAATACCCATACTATTTTAGGGGTGTTACTTTTTACAACTATAGTATACTGGGCCCCACAACCCCATGCTAATTATTAAGGCCCCTACATTACAGTACCTTCATAGATCCGTTATAGTAGCCCTTATATAGACCTCTTTCAAAGGAACCCCCTAAGACCCTATTCCAATTATTAAGGCCCCTACATGTCTCGCAAAAGTGCTCGCAACTTGGGGTCTCCACAAATAAGTCCCAGCTCCGAAATGTTCGTACCCAGAGACCTTGAGGATGGCAGCTTGTTTTTATTTTCCTAAACGTCCATGGGATCCTTTCAAGGGGCTCCGTAAAGGAATCCACAAAAAGGGTTCTAGAAGGGCTTAGGGTATACGGGTCCATGTACCCAACTAGTATATACTTTGGCCTTGAAGTAGTCCCTGTATAGGTACTTTGGGGCCAGAGTCTCCAAAAGAAACCTTAAGAAGAACCTTAAACCCCTACAAACCCTTAACACCCCTAAACCCTAGACCCCAAAAGAAACCTTAAGAGGAACCCTACAGTAAACCTCATAAAGTTGGAAACAGGATTAAGGCCAAATAGTGCTGGGATTCCCTATTTCCAACTCTTAAGAATTCAGGCTATTGGGATTCCAACTTGTCGGCTTCTACTGTATAATAGGAGTCCTTTTCGTGTAATTTAACGGATATTCGTTGAGCCCAAATGACGTATCTTTCTAAGGACATTCTGTAAAGGACATCGCAATCGAGAGAGGATCCGGATCTTAGTAGCCAATGTACTCTTAGAAAAGGGGGATATGACCCTAAAGACTTGGCACACTTACCTTTGTAAAGGTACTTTGGGCTACTCTAGGCTTTCCGTGACGATGGGATCCTTGTAAATTCCTCCTTTGGGTTCCCTCTTATGATTACCTTACATAAGTCTGCACTTTAGGGTTTAGGATAGGTTATCCAGGGTCTTTGTATTCCTTAGCCAAGAAATCCTCGGGTCTCTGCGTAGATCCCAGAGTGCTGGTCCTTTGACACTACGACGCAAAGGCCATGCTGCAAAACGCAAACTTCGCGCTGGCTACTGTTGGTAGATACCTAGACCCTTAGAGTTGGTTATTTTGGCTAAGCCGGGAAAAACTGTTTTTCCTCCTAGAGTTAGTTCCTAGTGTAGGACGCTGATTAAGAAACCCTGAGCCTATAACCCCAAAATAGTAGGATCCGCCTAAGGATCCCGAAGAACGAAAACCCCCAGGTTTCTTAATCAGGTTCCTACATTATCTATCCCTTAAGGACGAAATGAACCCTAAAAGGGTTTAAGGTTCATATACCATATAGGGATTCATAGTATATGGGTATAGGGCCCCTACTTTTAAGGGTCATTTCGTCCTTAAGGTTATCTATCTCCAGTGATAGAAATCTTGAGCTTTGTTGGACAGGTCCTGCCGGAGTGCCGTAGTGCCTTGAGGGTAATATATTGGCCTTAATAAGAACCTATACTATGTTGGGGGTTCCTTATTATATTTATAGTATAATGGGCCGCAAAACCCTATTCTAGCTATTAAGGCCCCTACATTATGGGGCTTGAGGTTTCGAGTTTATGCTTGAAATGTAGTTTTTGTGAGAGGGGTTGTGACTGTCATTGCGAGCTCCGTGCAGACACTTGAAACCAAACATCTACACACCTACGCATAATGCTGAACCATCTACTGAAGCTCTATACATCGGGCGGAGTTATATAGCCAGTTCTGAGGTCCCCAAAGCTTTACGACTCAGAATAGCCGTTAAAGAGAAAGTTCGACTTTTCTTGCGGTGCTGGAAAGAAGCATAAACTCTAAACCCAACCCGGATGGACTTGGAATGAGATATCTCGTGTAGGAGTTTGTTTTCAGGAGGGCTTCGGAGGATTTAAGAAGTTCCCTATGTATGGAGAACTTTACAAGCCTTAGTCAAGTATCTATGCATCTATATGCTGGTACCCATTACCCTAAACCCTGTACCCTACTAAACCCCAGATCCTACACCCCCATCAGGTTTGGCAGGTTTTCAGAAATTCTGGCTTTCGGCCCCAAGGCGAATATGCCGACCTCTAAAATCCTTAAGACTTGGACTCATAAGAAAGTCTGAGGGAAAACTCCCAGCCGCCATCCAAAGAGCGAGAACCCAAAGGCTCCATGTACCTTTATGGTAGATACTTAAGCCTTAAAGGAGTCCCTATATAGGTACTTTAAGGCCTAAGTGTATACTTTTTGGGTACATGGAGCCTTAGGGGAAGATTCCGATCTCTATGTATGGGTTTGGCGTTTAACATACGGGTCGAATAGGGTTTTGGGGGTGCCTTTAAGGGGGTCTGTATACGGGTTAGAGGATTTTGGAGTGAATTACACTATAATTCTAATGAGGAGCCCACAAAGGAGCACAGGTAATTTTAACGCTACGCCGCCCGCCTCGGCTCTGTAGCGGCAGGGCGAGGCGGCAGTGGATGTTGTAGACAGCATGCTAAGCGATCCTCTCAACCCCAACCTCGAAACGTTCTTCTCGATTGTCGAGCGCCATCTTCCGGGGGGGGAGGGGGGGGGGGTCTGGGAGGGGGCAGGCCGACAAATCAGGTAAAATGAAGGGAAGGCGGACAAGGGGGTGGCAAACGAACGCAAAAAACGGGTGTCACGAAACATTTGGACTGCAAGGAGGAGGCTTAGGTGGAGGGTACCTGAGGTAACCACCAAGACGCCTGGGCCTGTGGCCTCGGCGGATTATTGAGGCCGCTACATGTCGGTTTAGGATGGAAGCTTTGACAACCGCATGGGCCATGCCTTGTCGCAGTTGCCTCTCAGACTCAAGTTGCAGGAGCCAGCTAGTACACACATACATTCATGCATACGTGCATAAGTCCGTATGTACATATATATATATATATATAGATATAGATATGTGTATTTTATATAGGCGCTGCGGTCACGCACCCCCCCCACCCCCGCCTTCAAGCCTAGTTGCTTACACATCCTGCACAATCGTCTTCAAGTCATACCTACCACCACAATGACTTAGCAGGAAGAACGGTGTTACCATGCAGCTTGAAATCTTCAGGACCTTAGGCCTCAAGGGTTAGGGTTTTTAGCGTGTCCGATCGAACTGCCCCGCATGGCGCACTGCAGCCCGGATTTATCCGCTGCCACCACAGCTTTTGCCACCAGCTTGGTGTCCACGGCCATGGAGCAGGACCCCCTCAACCCTAAACCCTAAACCTGAAGTCCATGTCCTTTTAGCAGGACACCTAGGTCACATAGACCACAGTCAAGGAATATACTACTTAAGTCATATTAGTATGATATATACACATATGTAGATGCACATACACATCTAATATCATACATATATACATAACATGTATGATATATATATATATATATGTATATATATATATATATATATATATATGTATTTATGTATGTGTGTATGTATGTATATATATATACATACTTGTAGATACAAAGGTATGTCTTTATGTGTGTATATATATATATATATATGTATGCTTAGATACGTTGCACAAGGGATGTTGGAAGGCCTGGGACCCTCAACCCTAAAGCCTGACCAAGCCTCCCCTCGCCAACTTTGCCATGAGGTTCAGCTTATCGTGAAAAGGGCAGGGTTTAGGGGTTAGGGTTCAGGGTTTAGGGTTCAGGGTGTAGGGTTCAGAGTCTACTTCAAGGATCATGGGAATTAGTAAGTGAGTTCATAAGTACCTCAGTTGGGGCTATAAGTAGTTGTCCGTATTCTTATCATGATAATAACCCTGGTTACTAAGTCCCATGATCCTCCAAGGAGTTCAGGCAAACAGAGCTGGGGTCTGGGTTGCAGTATGTATGGTTCCTCAGTGTAATCAGGATCGTAACATTTCAGTTCACAGTTTTTTTTCGATTCATTGTGTGTAGTTTTCTGAGGAACCTCTCCAGGACCTTTCTATAATCCTTACAGAATCCTTACATTTGAAAGAAACCCTCAAACCCTAAAGGGGCCCTGAGCCCTGAACCCGAAAACCTTCAACTTGGGTACCGCCCACATACAGAAAAACAGTCTACAATAGGGCTACTATTAAGGCCCTAATATAACTTATATTTTTCTATGAATAATATCCAACTGTTACTGAGTGGGGGCAGTACCCGACCCTAAACCCTAAAAGGGCCTCCTCCCTGATGTTCGCAGGAGGAGGTGCTGCCACCCCCAGCCACCCTCTCGGCGAAGCCTGGTCACTTGTGGGGCGGCCTGCAGCAAAGCCAGGCACGCCCAGAGCCCACAAGCGCCTGAGGTTTCGGGTATTTTAACTTAGAGGCATCATTGTTGCTATGTTTGCTATGTTTAGTTTGTTGACTCTTTTCGTTGTTTTGTTTGTTGGTTCTTGTTGCTTCTTTAGATTATTTGTGTTGTTAATACAGCTGTTGCTGTTTTTGAGGCCGCTCATCGTGGTCGGAACTCCGGATATCGATATGTATTTGGTCCAAAGCGCTTCAACATGGACTATTGCAGCCTACCCCTTGCAGCGGGACTATAGGGACCTAAATAATTACCTACGTGATTATGGGGACTCCTGATTCAGATTATAGTATAATGGGCCCCAAGACGCTATTCTAATTATCAAGGCCCCTATATTCGTACCATAGAAAGTCCATGTCTCTGTCGAGCTTGGGTGCTTTTCGATAAGGCGTGTATGCGAATTGAGGGAAGAAAGAAACAGGATCACACCGTGACTCACAATGATTCACGACATTGCCTGTGTTCAGGGCTTGGTCTGCCGAATCTGCTGGCGCTGGGAATCTGTTTGCCAAAACCTACACTTGAAATCCGCCACGCTGTAAAGCGGAGCCTCTTGTTTTAGAGTGTGGGTTCAATGTTTTGAAGCGGAACTCCCAGTCAGTGTCGTATCTAAGTCCAAGGTGTAGGGGTTCTGGTCAACGGCTAACGAAGCAAGTACCACGGCAACCTGAAAAACCGCTGTCCTAGAATTCCAGCATACCGTGCGCCAAAACCCTAGTCTGGCCATGAAGGCCCTTTTGACCCCGCCCAAACGCTAACTCCCTTGTAGATCCCATAAAGAGCCCTTGTTAGTTAACGCTAATTACAACAATAGCAATGTTTTTTGTGGGAATCCAATACTACTTGAGATGGCTCCTACCCTGCCATGACGACACACGTGAGGCACCGGGCGATCTGGACGTGCAGCAATCTGATCCCGAAGGCCACGAGTGGCGTGTGAGGGTTTAAGGTGGAAGGCAAGAAGTTCGAGATCTCCAACTTTGTTTTTGACCATCGTCTGTGTCATCGATATAGCATCACTTGTTAGAATATGTATGGTTTGAGTGTCTGTTATCGTGTAGTTATATATACGGTTGATGGTTTAAATCCTGCATTACCCATTATCAGGAATACATCATAATTCCCAGAGTCTAGGGTCCTTAAGGTAATGCAGGATTTATGTCATCAACCGTAGTTCTAGGAAACAGACCCTTGTAAGGAATGGCAGTCCTCCAAGTTCTAATATTGTAAGTTATAGTAAACATCATTGCGATTGCGTTCGTGGTTTTGGCTCGCAGAAGCTTTGACCCGCTTCTTCGGACAGAGACCGTTTACCTTGTTAAGGTCATTCTTTGTATGCACATGTCACATGTCCACAGTGGCAGCAACTTACTGCGTCGAAGGTTCCACTCTCTACTTGACTGTCTACTGTATCTATCTCTCTGTCTAACTACATATCTGTACATCTCGCTCTGCCTCTGTCTCTCGATCGATCGATCTGTCCATCGATTTACCGATGCATCTGTTTATCCCTGTAGCTATCTAGGTATTTGACCACTATCTGTGTGCCTATCTATCTATCTATCTATCTATTTATCTACACATCTATCGTTCTGTCTATCTATTCATGTATCTGTCTACCTATATGTCTAAGTATCTAGCTATCTCTCGGATATTATGTATATATGTATATGTAGTTCTGTCTACCGGTCTATCTATACATCCACCTAACTATCGGTCCATCTACTTGTCTACCTATCTATTTGTCTATCTACGTCTTTGTCTAGCTAAATCTTATCGGCCGATTCGCCAATCACCGATGTGTGTCAAACTGTCTTATTTCCTTTTTGTCTAAGTATCTTTCTATTTAAAATACCTGTCCTCTATCTATATCTGGCTGTTCACCTACCCATCGATCTGTTTATTGTTTATCTACCCATTTGTCTACCTATATGTCTACCTACCTATCGATCTGTCGATCCGTGTGTCTATCGATCTATCGTTCTATTTATGTATCTATCCAAATATCAGTTTGTCTCTATCGGCCTGCCTGTTTGTCTAGATACTTGTATGATGGCGTGTCCGTCTGTACGTGTATCTACAGGTGTATACATATATATATATATATATATAGAATGTATATAAACATAGATAGAGCTATAATTAATGCAAAGGTGCATGTATACGTGTGTGTATGCGCATTTGTATATGTATATGTATATGTGTATGTGCATGGTGTAGACGATATGTTCGTCATACACAGGTTTACATAGATACATCGGTAGATCAATCTGTACTTATATTTGTATATAATATACATAGACAGATTGATCGACACATAGGTATGTACGTACATAGATGTCTTGGATCGATCGACAGACTATGCAGAGGCTGTAGGCGCGGGCAGATTATGTTCAACCATGTCCATCGCGTCGACTTGCTTGAGCAGTCCATCTTTTCCTCTTGGTTGTTCCTTTTGTTTGTGTCGGAGGTTGCACTTTGCTGCCTTACTCTTCCGTGGAATGAGCAATAGTAATCGGAATAAGAAATCGTCGATGTCACACTGTGATACGTTTGGGAAGGGTCCGCACAGATACACGAAGGCCTTTCAGTACAGTAAGAGCATCCCGCCTTAGCATTGCTTGGCAGATCCTGTCCACGCAAGCGTCATTCAGCTGCGGAAAGAGTTGACTCAGAAGCTCTGCTGGCAAGAGGAAATTCTGAATGAGCAACTTGCCTGCACTGAGGTTCCGATGAAGAACTGCATGTATTTCTAGAGCAATTGCAGACGCATTACCATGAGCCGCTTATGTACTCATGCATGTATGTATGTTGCAGATATGACCGATTATGTGTCTGTTTTTTTTCCGTCTGTCTGTGTTTTGTCTGTACGTCTTTTTGTTTTGCATGCATGCATGCACTTGTGTATGCAAGTACGTATTTGTGTATGTATGTAACTGTTCATTCATGCAGCTGTGTACGAACGTGTTTATGTAGGTATGTATTCATGGGTGCATGTTGCATGCATGGACATCAGAGCACACTCATGCATGCGCGAGCTTTTTGTTTGTTGCGCGTGTGTGCATTTGCATGTACATGCAACGAGAAACAACTATGGGCAAAACTCGAGTCGTGAGTTGGGAAACTGTGTCCCATATTACGTGCACTTTCTATGTTGTGCTCTCTGTGCGGACATACATCAGCACGTATACGCTCGTGCTGCACGGGAGATTATGAGGTCTGGGCACATGGAGTCTTGCCCATAGACCACAGGATCATGCCCCACCCCATTTTCAGGGTAATTACCAACTTGTCTGCAATACAGATCCTAACCACAAAACTAGGCTTCTAACTATAGTGCATATTATGCTTGGGCCACAAGCGATCCGCCTTCTCTCTCCTGAACTATCGCCGTCACCAATCCTGCCTTGGGGTTGCATGAGTGTTCGGGTGGGATGCCTGGCTGCCGGGGATCGCGTCGGACTGGCAAGGGCCGTAAAGTGCCTGAGTTTTCCAGGCCCAAGTATTTACTCTATGAGTACATGGACCCTTAGGGTATAACATGACCCTACCCCTTCTTTAGAGTACTTACTTGCCTAGGGCCATAAAAATCTGAGGATCCTACGCCGCGTAGATCGACCTCGTGGCCCTCCTCCCGCATTGCACATTGTCTGCAACCAGGGGCTTGAGGTTAAGGGTTTGCCTGGACCCTGAATAGCTTGCCTTTCCGAAGACTTTGATAAGGAAATCATAACAAGGAGCCCTTGATGAAGGAAGGTTCTATAACGTTTAGGTGGGGTCTAGGGTTCATGTTTCTGGGCCGACAAGCCAGAGAAACAGCAACTGCCCCAAAGGCTCCATGTAGCTTTATAGTAGATACTTAAGCCTTAAAGGAGTCCCTATATAGGTACTTTAAGGCCTAAGTATATAGTATATGGGTACATGGAGCCTTAGGGTGCAGGGGTTTGGGACTCAAGGTTTAGCAGCTTAGCATTTTGGATTCCTGGTCTAGTTTCAGGCATTTAGGGGTTTAGGGTAACGCGAATTATTGAGACCTGCCACCTTGGACGGAAATAGTCTTGAGGAGCTTATGACAAGATGAGGTTTCGCGCCTGTACATCTCCCAAAAGCTCCATGTACCTTTATGGTAGATACTTAAGCCTTAAAGGGGTCCCTATACATGTACTTTAACGCTTAAGTATATTCTGTATGGGTACATGGAGCCTTAGGGTCTCTAGCTCACATGCATTGCTCCAGATACAGAGATGTCAGGGGGTTAGAGATAGAGGAACGTAACACAAGCACAGAAGCACAATTTTCTGGCATGCCTGGATGTTCATGCCGAGTAGTGGCAGTTGCAAAGATCCTCCAGGGTGGCCACGGCTGCGAACAAGTCAAGCCAAGAGGAGAAAGAGATGAGAAAGGACGCGCGCATGAGCTTCGGGCGGGGATAACTGTCAATACTGTTCTTTAGGGTTCCCATTATGCTTGAACTGTTATATTACGCGAAACCTTATGGGAATTTTAGAGGACTATATTGCGATGATGGTTTCTCCAGAAACGAAAATGGGACAACTCTTCTTTTGACAACGTTCGTTCCCGCTTCCTGCGCGTTGCGGACAATTGGTGAGACAGTAACATCCTTAGCGTATGGGCTCGGATCGCCTACTGCTAGAAGCTGTACTCTACCGTAGCCTCGAAATCAGAAAGCCAAGCCAAGGTTGAGAGCTCGGCAGATCCTCCTGCCCTGAACCCACAGACAGACGCAGCGCGCGCAGGAGGATTCTAACAAATCTCATGCTTCTCTCACTTCTCGCGTCTCGAAGACATCAACGTCCAAAGCTCCACAAGGGGAATCTTGGCCATGAACTCGTGCTTGGGGAAGGGTTCAGATCTTCGACTTTCCCTAAACCCTACGAGATTCCCCAGCTAGCAGATCGACTGCACCCGGGACTTGTTGTGGCGGTTGGCTTGTGGTGGTAACTCGACTCGGGTCTTGATGCCCCACCACAGAGAATATCCTTGCCGTATGGTTTGGAGTTCGTGAAATGTGAGAAAACAGCGAACCCAATATTAACAGCCTAAATGGTCGGATACTAAATATTACGGGCCCGAAAAGGGAGGCTCGGGTTTTGCCAGGATTACATCGACGGTGCTGGAATGGGGTCCAACTTCGTGACAGCACTCATGTAGGCTAGACTTGTCCTCACAGCGATGTGACATGACATCTGCCGCGAACTGCAGCAGCCTTGAATTTCGAGTAAGCTCGACATCCATGCTGCGATTCGTACAATAAGTATTTCTGCCAGTCGACATCGTAAGCGATCATGATGCGGGATGATGCATGCCACAAGATATAGCTACTTGGAGGATCATGGGACTTAGTAACTAGAGTCATAATAAGGCAACTATACGAATAACTACTTATAACCCCAATTAGGGTACCTATAACCATACTTACTAAGTCCCATGATCCTCCATGTAGGGCATCAAGACGACAGCCGAGAGATGCCGAGAGGGAGCTCCTTGCGTGAGCTTAGGCTTAGACCCAGAGGGTCCACAGCAGTTCCTTTTGGGGGTTCAGGGTTTAGGGTTCAGGGTTTAGGGTTCAGGGTTTAGGGTTTAGGGTTCATGGTTTAGGGTTTGGGGTTTAGGGTTTAGGGCTTGGGGTTTGGGGTTCATATTTAGTGTCCTGTAAGGTAATCTCAAAAAGGAACTACCGTGGAGCATATGGTTAAACTCTAATGGGTCCAAATACCTGATATCTGTGCTATAGCTTTTCTATAGTCCAAGGTTAAGGGGTTGGGGCAGCCGTGCCTGAACTGCACGTCAAGATTCCCAGAACTGGTATTAGATCGAGGGACGTTCATGTGGAAGCACGCAAAGTCTTGAAAGCCCGCCGGCTTGGCTCCGTTGCCCAAACGCTCCAGATTAGGTGAAACTCCAAAGTGCAGCATCCTCCAACCCCTGTAGAGGACCCTTATAGAGAGCGTTTATAAAGAGCCTTTATAAATCCCCCGTAGAAGCCCTCGCACTGACTTTCCGATTCCATCATTGCAGCCCTTCAAACCCTGAAACACGAATCCGAAGGTGACCCTATATATATATATATATATATATATATATATACCACTCCAAAGCCCCGACGCGTTCATCGTGACCTCAAACCCTAAGGCTCCATGTACCCATATAGTATATGCTTAGGCTTCAGAGTACCTATATAGGGACTCCTTTAAGGCTTAAGTATCTACTATAAAGGTACATGGAGCCTTTGGGAAATCCGTGACCATAAAACTCGACGCGACCACCGTGTCGAAGGAACCTTAAACCCTATACCCCAAGCCCTAAACCCTATACCCTAAACCCTATACCTTAAACCCTAAACCCTAAACCTTATACCTAAACCCTAAACCCTAAACCTTATACCTAAACCCTAAACCCTGTACGCCCTCGAAGGAACCCGGAGGGCGGAGGACGAACTTCACACCTGGGGCTCCTCATTTATTCAGCCGCTGGGCCCTCCTTGGGATACTGGAACCCGCCTTTTCGGGCAAAACGGTCCTTAGGGTTCCTTTAAAGGGTCCTTTGGGTTTCGTTAGGCTTCCTTTTAATGTACCAGTACAGTAATAGAGCTTTGGGTTAACAGTTCAAGGTTTTGGAGGTTGAAAGATGAAGGATTCGGTAATGAAGTGGAGCATCCAGAGCAAAATTGTCGGAAAAGGGTACTATGCCAGGCTTTTGCTGGCATCTTGAAGCTTAGACCTCGGCTTCGTCACCGTAGGTGCACAGTTTTACGGACGGTTTGGGTTCAGAGTTTAGGTTCATGCCAGGTGGTTGTGGAAGATGCTGAGGCAGCCACCCAAGCGCAGCGAGTATGTTGGTAGTTGTGTCAGGAACCATCAGTGTAACTTGTGTAATGATCGTACTTATGTTAAGAATGGCATCAACATATATCAATCTAAAGTGTATCGCAGTGATTCGGGACACTGAAAACCAAACAACGCGTAGGACAGTGCAATACTACCACAGGACCAATTCCAATGCTCACTCACAGTTTGCTTGCCGTCAAAAGCCATGCCATGTCGTTGGACCTGGGTGGCTGTTCGAGCTGGGTGGTAACCCTGACCCCAAAACCCTGCATATCCTTCTTGTGGCTTCTCTCTCCTATCCTGGCGGAGATTCGGAGTGAGAGGGCTGCATTGTGTGGGAAAGATCATATAGGAGCCTTAGCAATTGCGTAGATCCGGGTTTCGGGTGTATATTTTAGTAGACTTTTTAAACAAGGAGCCCTACGACATACGTAGTACTGGCATGGTTTCAGGCTCTGCCTTTGGAATTAAAGGCTTTGGCCAGACTTCTGTCTCAGCCATTCCTTTCTGACGATCGCTTCTATATTGTGAACGCATGACTGTGACAAAGTCCTGACTCCCAGACCCTAAACCCTAACCCGCTAAACGCTACACCCTCAAAACTCGAAACTTCTAGCCCTAAACCCTGACTGGCATCGCCCAAGCTCTCACTCACCTGAGGGTCTGTCCTGCTCTCGCCTCTGCTTAGAAGCCCAGGCTTCACAGTAAGGCAGCCCTAAACCCTACCTGGACCCTGTGAAACCTACCTTTCTAGGGCTTCGGGCTATGATTTCGTTGTCATAAGTCTTTAACACCCTAGGTTGGTTTGGGTTAAGGTACACCGTGAACCAAGATTGATGTCCCATGGCATGATGCCACAAAACCGCGTCCTAAGCTCAAGTTGCAGTGGCGCATGGTTTCGGGGGCACCCACAGCCGTGGCAGCTTTTATGTGAGATACGATTGATGATATAAATCCTGCATTACCTTAATGACCCTAGACTATGGGAGTTATGGCATATTCCTTATTATGGGTAATGCAGGATTAATATCATCAACCGTATCAGGGACAGGTGGTCCACAGTCACATCTTTCAGTTGCAAACCTCGAGAGTCTCGCGCTCGTCATCGTGAGCTGTACATCGTTTTTGCTAACATAGGGGCCTCAATAGCTACCTATACTAATTCTGGGGGTTCCTTATAGCAGTTGAAGTACAGTGAGCCGAAATAAACCCATTCGAAATATTAAGGCCCCTATATTACTTGCTTAGACCTTAAAACGATTAACACATGTAGTACCATTTGCATTGGTTGCCTCACTCTCCTCTTATATGATGCGAAGCTTAAATGACGGTTAGATTCAGAGCAATACTTGGAATACCCCTATATGGGAGTTTCCGAAAATGGGGGACCCTAGTATAGTACCCTAAATAGCAGGATCCTTTTTTGAGGACCCCAAAATAAGATACTCCTAATGTTCGGAACCTCCCATTTTAGTCGAGCCAAATGACGACGCCGAACAGCCAGAAAACAAGCGGAGGCACCTTCACCCACTATGACTTGGCCCTTCAAGAAGCTCAGCCTACAGGGAACTCCAGAAAGTTGGAATATGGTTTCATGGTAGGATACCCTATAATTTACCATAGAAGGGTTAGGATAATAATATTCCAACTTTCTGGCTTTTACCTTATGTCATTCTGGGTTTGGGATTTGGGGCTATTGAGGAATACTTGGAGGTTCATGGGTAGTTATAAGAAGGGCGTATAAGTAGGACCAGGATGATAGAGGTATCCAGTTATCCTATCTTATTGGGACATCTGACCCCAAATCTAACTTCAAAGGGGAAAAGGAGGGACCCTTAATGGGGACCCCTACCCTATAATGGGCTCTATCATGGGTATATAATAGCTCTATTAAATTTACATACCTAGGGGTCCTTATTCAGGGTCCCTCCTTTCACCCTTGGATAGCTAGCCATGAGCCTTGAAGTAGGGGTTTCGTCGGACCTTGCAGGTTCTGGGCTTGCAAACCCTAAACCCTAAACCCTAAACCCCTGAACCCCTAACTCCTAAACCCTAAACCCTTCAACCCCTAAACCCTAAACCCTAAGCATCCGTAAGCTCCTGCATCCAAAATGCCAGTCCAAGCTTCGAGACCCCAACGCCCTAAGGCTCCATAATAGGGTTCCTTTAAAGGGGTTCCTTTAAGGGTTCTATAGGGTACCATTAGGGTTTGGGGTATAGGGTATATAAGGCTCCATGTACCCATATAGTATATACTTAGGCCTTAAAGTACCTATATACGGACTCCTTTAAGGCTCAAGTATCTACTATAAAGCTACATGGAGCCTTTGGGACAGTGCCCAATATGGATCTGACGCTTTTCGTCAATGCCGGACGCTAGGTTATGGGCCCTGAATCCTAGACCCTTGCGAAGACTCTAAGCTGGGGTCCGACATCTGGAAATCAACTCTGGATGATGGTTGCTTACGCTTTAGCTGGGACTGATTGTGGGCTTCAGGGTTTCGGGTTTAAGGGTACGGGTTGAAGGGTCTAGCATCCAGGTTTCGGGGGGGTTTGGGGTGTGGAAGTCCTTTCCCAGTTGTGGGACCTGGAATCTCATGCATCATAAACGAAATCCTGGCAAGATCTGAAGAGGGCGACGATGTACGCCGATTCACAACGCGGGGGGCTCTCCGAATATCGGGGTCTTCTGTGTGTGCTTGTGAAACGAGTCGTGTATTCTTCTGGGTATCCAAATGAAAAGCGTACCGTGGTAAAGTAGCCAGCACGAAAAGGTTACGATTGTTATCGGGCTATTGTAAGGGTTACTTTTGCGATTGCTATCTAGCAGATGTACCGCGTTCAAGTGGGAAAGTGCAGAGATGTCCACTCCCGAGTCCTGGATTTAATGATGTGTATGGTTGCCGATTCAGTTACAGGGCCTGGGAGATCAGACAGCGACCTATAGCTTTTAGCATATACGCCAACCCAAGCCTCACCTGGTCACCGATCCCCATACCGTTCTCACGGGTAAGTCTAAGTAGGGTTTTCAAATGCCACAACTGTAGTCGGAGACTTACAATCCCACTTATAACTACCCATAGGCCTCCAAGTTGTAATGGTCAAGTTAAGCCTGTCATCAGCTCTCATTCCCCCCGGAAGCCAGAATGCAGCCAATGCCTAGCCCCTTAACTCTAAGCCCCGGGCCAGAAATCCCTAAGCCATAGACCTCCAGCCCCCGATGGCCCTCACCTCACGAGGTCTTTAGCCTTTGGCTCTCAAGCAGAATCCTTTGGGTCCAGGTATACCCTAAACCCTGCCTTAACACCGAAGAACCTACATTTTTAAGGACTTATATAAAGAAATCATAATAAGGAACCTTAAAAAGGTCGGTTATTCAGGGTTAAGGTGAACCCCAAGCCCTCCACTGATGCTAAGCTCGGAGCTCAGGACGTAGCGAACACGGCTGAAGGGAGGCAAAATCGATTGAAGTTTGGGAAGACGAGTCTTGGCTAGATGGCTTCTATTTGGGGACTAGCTGTTAGGAACGCACTCTCGTCGTAACAACCTTAAACCCACCAGGTCTCAGAGATTTTTGGGATCCAGACCCTAAACCCCAAACCCTAGGGCTGTAAGGACTCATATATAAAGGCTTTTGGGCTCAAAGACCATACTATACAAGGCTTTTGGGCGATTTTGATCCCCAGGGAAACCCAAAACCCTAAAAGTCAGAGCCAGTCCTTCTCAGAAAGGCCGGATTCTGCCTATCAGGCTTTGGGTGACTTGCATCCTCGACGCGGGCGCTAGTATATTATATAGAGGTCACATCCTGTTATAGTTCCTGAATTATGATACCATGATAGGCCCCACAGCACTGTCTGTTTTTATTGTTAAATATTCAGCATTATGTAATACTTTAATTAGCCCACAAGAAACGTGCCACGGCACTTTCTACGGCATCAAACCTTTCAGAGTAGCCGGGGAGTTTCGGTTTGCAACACCAAGCCTGCAAGCTTCTGGAGCTCTGATGGGCTACTTGGAGGGGCAGGGGACTTAGTAAGTAGGTTATAAGTAGAGTTATAAGTACCCTAAACGGAGTTACACCAATTATAATTCCTACTTATAACCTACTTACTATGTCCCCTGCCCCTCCAAGTAGTTGAACTACATCCAAACTCCTGTCTCTTACTGATGCGGGAAGTCTTAGAGGGCGGGGATTCTGGGTTCAGGGGTTGGGGAAAGGGTTCTGCTCGATGCTGCTTTGCGGATCTTTGTGCGAGTGCAAGAAGTCTACTACAGGGGCCTTGATAAGTACCTATACTATTTCGGTGTCTTCCTATACTATTTCGGTGTCTTCCTGATTATAATTATAGTATCATGGGCCCCCAAACCCTATTCTAATTGTTGAAGAAATCGGGGTTTTTGGTTCAGCCAGGAGCTTTCAGGTTGCTGGAAAGGTTTGGAATCCTGGGCGCTTCAGCGTCAAAGTACGATCTTTGAAATATATTGGATCCTGATCCTTCACAAGCCACGACACCACAGGTGGGAGAACTTACCTTTGGTTAGTAGGGAGTGGAAGAATAGTAGTAATAGTAGTTATAATTGTACCCCATTCCTCCATTCCCTACTAACCAAAGGTAAGACAAGCCACGACACCGCCCATATGAAATCAGTTGGAGGAGGAGGAGGAGGAGGAGGAGGGGAGGAGGAGGAGGAGTAGTAGTAGTAGTACAGTAGTAGTAGTAGTAGTAGTAGTAGTAGTAGTAGTAGTAGTAGTAGTAGTAGTAGTAGTAGTAGTCGTAGTCGTAGTCGTAGTCGTAGTCGTAGTCGTAGTCGTAGTGGTAGTGGTAGTGGTAGTGGTGGTAGTAGTAGTAGTAGTAGTAGTCGTAGTAGTAGTAGTAGTAGTAGTAGTAGTAGTAGTAGTAGTAGTAGTAGTAGTAGTAGTAGAAGTAATGTTTATATTACCGTTTTGGTGAGTTTAGTTAGGGCTCCTTCTAGGATTAGGTGAGTGTATATATTGGGTTTTATTAGGCGGATACTAATAATAAAAACCATACCCCAAGTGTTAAACCCTGAACCCGAAGCCCTAAAACGCTCCCCGAATCCCAGCCCTCAGCTCCTGAAAGCCCTATAGTAGAAGCCAGAAAGTTGGAACATCATTATCCTCATGCCCGTAAGATAAAGCAGAGGGAATCCTAGCACCAATCATCCTAAATCCATGTTCCAACTTTCTGGGGTTCACTATAGGGGCTTTGGCTTAGGGTTAGTAGAAGGGCCGAAATAATTACCAAGAGCTATTTGGGGGGGCTACTTCTTAATGGGCCCCAAAACCCTATTCTAACTATTAAGGCCCCAGAATTAACCTCAGACGAGGAGGGGCTCTTTCGGCAAGGATGAGGACATGGGCTGCAACTTGGAATGACTTGAACCCTAGTCCCGCTGGGAGGGGTTCCATTGAGTCTCTAACTGATCCATATCGGAATCTACGAACGATCGATGAACCGATCTATCTACCTATCTAACTATCCATCTATCTACCTATCTAAGCATCTACCTATCTACCTAACTATCTAAGAACTTTTACCTACTTACCTACCTACCTATAATTTACCTACCTCAGATAAACAGGGGTTCGCCCCTAAACCCTAACCCCCAGAACCCTACGCTGGAACTTCAAAGCTTCGGCTCGCATGTAGGGCTCCGAAACCTGACCACCGAACGAACTGTGAACGTACCCTAAGGCTCCATGTACCCATATAGTATATACTTAGGCTTTAAAGTACCTATATAGGGACCCCTTTAAGGCTGAAGTATCTACCATAAGGGTGGTTGTCAAAATTATGGTCCCTTTTTGGGTCCCTAATAGAGTACGGCACCTAATATCCCGAAAGCGATCATTTCGACAACCACCCAAATTTGCGATGGGCCAACTTCCCCTAGGGGTCTAAGGACTCATAGGCTTTTGGGCCCAAAGACCCTACAAAATGATTTAATCGGGGCTATTTTGATCCCCAGGGTTCCGAGTTCGTAATGCTTTGGTAGGGAAGGCGGGAGGGTGTAGGGCTTTGGGGCTTCGCGGTTTAGGGCTTCAACGTTCCAGGTTTATAGGGTAGTTTACGGCCTGAAGTTCCGGGCTTCCTTTTCAAGCTTTCAATCCCTAAGGCTCCATGTACCCATAAAGTATATACTTATGCCTTAAAGTACCTATATAGGGACTCCTTTAAGGCTTAAGTATCTACCATAACGGTACATGGAGCCTTTGGGAATTGCAAGCTAGCACCTTGAGGCCCGGTCCCTGAGGGTTTAGGGTTTAGGGTTCCCCACGCAGCATGGAGCCTCCCGACCGCAAACCCTACTACTCTTCAGCCTTAGGCCCAAAGCACTAGTCACTAAACCCCCAACCCAGCACCATAAAACAAAGTGTCCTCTTTTCTGGAGGCTGGGGCCTTATAGACCCCCTAAAAGGAACCCTATTCTGATCATTAAGGCTCCTTTGTTACCTCCTTAAAAAGAGCCCCCATGCAGGGAGCCCATGTTGGGACTGCCCAGCATCGCCTTTCTTAGAAGTCGGAGTTTTCGGCACCCTCCTCCCAGCTGACCTCCACTAAAGCATCGGTTCTGGTGAGTAGGAGCATCTGCAGTCTTGAAGGGACAGGATATTATTTATGAAGGGGTCTGAAAGACTCCCATAGGCGTGCAGTTTGCAGTGCGATGATCAGGTTGCCAGAAAATACATGCCAGAGAGACAGTTTCTGCCTGTGTTTCAGAACAAGATCTCACGAATCCCCAACAAAAAGCATCCCAAAGCCCAGAACCGCAAGCATGCCATAGGGGCGTAACTAATTACCAATAATACTACATTTTGGGGGTTCCTTACTATACTTATAGTATAATGGCCCCCCCAAGCCGTATATGGGCCCCCCCAAACCCTAGTCTAACTATTAAGGCCCCCATAGTATAGACCTTCGCCCCATTTCAGGGGTGGAATGGGTGGTGGGCTCCCCACTCTTCGATGCCTTCTGCGCGCTGATTGTGGTGTCGAACTCTATCTTCCTGGGCGTCGAAGTTCAGACACCCGGATGTGAGTTTCCCCAAAGTAGGAAATTATGAGGTCCTCATATTAAGGATCCTACGTATAGGGTTACTATATTAGGGTCCCCCTTTCGGAGACCGCGGATGGTTTCTACCCAAAGCCCTACCTGAACCCCCAATAACTGACTTGTCCAAGGACTTCTACAAGGAAACCATCATAAGGATCATTAGGAAGGTAGGCTTTCGAGTGTCCCAGGAAAGCCCTAAACCCGGTTGTCTCACGTGCTCGACCACCGAAAACTTCCATGTCAATCGCGAACCTAAATCCCCACCCCTACCCTGGGGATCAAAATAGCCCAAAAGCCTCATATAGTATGGTTTTTGAGCCCAAAAGCCTTAATATATGAGTCCTTAGATCCCAAGGGCTAAACCCTAAACCCCAGACTTGTGGATATGAGGAGTCCCAAAGTCAAGGAAAGGAGTGTTCCGGTGCATGGGTGAAGAGAAAGTGCAATGAACCGTTTGGGTGTTTAGGGTTAGTCCGCTTATAGGGCTTTAGGGTTTAGGGCTCAGACTGACTCAGGCTTAGATTCTTCGGGCTTATATGACTGATTCCGCTTGTTCGTCGGAGGGCCGGCATTGCTGCGAAAGAAGTTCTGAAGGCCTTAGGCGTTAGGGATTAGGGATTTAGGGTTTGGGGTAGGGATTAGGGATAATGGCTTTAGGGTTTAGAGTCAACAAAAACCAAGTACCGACTGCCTGGGATCACACGGGAGTTTCCGAAAACAAGGGGTACCTTATTTGGGGTCCTTATCATGAGGATCCTACTATTTAGGGTACTATTTTAGGGTCCCCTATTTTCGGAAACTCCCCCACTGTAGGAGAAAGCAGTCAGCCGCTTGTCTGATTCGGATCATGGCTGCGCCAAGGATGGGTATCACTTACTTCGACGAGGGCCTGCCGGTATCAATGTCCGTGGTGCAGTATGTCGCTGCCTTAGTCCTAGGTAGTCTTAGGGAGACCCCGTGAAACGGGACCCTCTTAAGCCTACTTCTGGCTCTCTTAAAAGGGACGTTGTTACTGATAGGGTCTACATCCCCAAGGCTCCTAGTTCCTACACTTTGCAGGGGTGCTTGGTGTCGCACCCTAGTGTCTGCAGAGACTGCTACCCCAACGCGCGCTGAAAGGTAGCGGTCGTCTCTCTGCTTCTTAGTAGGGGCTGCGGGAATCGATTATGGAGACTATTATTGGGGATTATATAGCGACTAGTATACTATAGGGATCCATTCCCCCATTCCCTACTAAGCACCAGACAGTCGTAGTGTGCGAGACCGAGAAGTCTACAGAGTGTTCGCGAGAGCCGATGGCTTCAGAGTTTGCAACATAAGGTCTACGCCGCTTGGTTTCTGCTGGAGCTAATGCTTCGAATCCGAAACGACGGCTGGAAATTCATCTTCACCCCGGACTGGTCTTGGAATTTGCTGGATGTTTTTGTGGTCCTGACCTCACTATGGGACTCTTGGATGTGAAAAGACTGGACCTGCATGTTTTGCAATCTTACTTCGTTGCCCTAAGGGTCCATGTGCCCAAATAGTATATACTTTGAGACCAATGTACAGTACCTATATAGGGCTTGCGTTTCGTGTTGTTTTTAGTGTATTCCTTATGTACCTTCTGGCTGTTCAGGACTGAAGCTGGGAACTGTCTTCTGCAATGGAGTACTCTAGAGCTTGCAGTCTTCTTCGGTGTTTCTTAGACACCAGTTCGTTAGTTCAGCTCCTGGAGCTGGGAGTGCCGCATCGATACTTTCCTCCACACGTGTAGTGCTTAGTGTCGAATTAGTCCTGATGCTTTTGCACTCTTTGCTCAGTTGCCGCGAAGGGTTTAGGCCGGCGCTGAAGCCTGCACGCGCAGGCGCACATGCATGGGCTCTCCGCTAGAAACGTCATCAGAGTGCATAGGGCGTACGTTAAATCCAAATTTGTATTAGTTGGGCACGTGGACCCTTATATAGGGTTGTAGCTCAACCACGCAGTACCTGAAATCCCAGACGTCAACTCCAACGAACGTCGAGGGCTCTGGTGCAATCTGGGCATCGCAATAATTTCGGGTTATACCTTTGGGCACCTTCTTATGTACAACTCTTCTAGACAATTATCTCCGGAAATCTACTCTGATTAGCTATTCCGGCCCTTATAGTGGATCTCTTTCACCTTGTCAGCTCCATCCAGCATTTAGGTTTGAATCGTGACCGACATGGATAGTTCTCTAGGTATTATCCCAGTTTTTGGATCTGGACAAGACGGGCTCGCTTGTATGACAGGGATTCCCCTAAACCCTAAGCCCTAACAGGGGGTTACCACGCATGGTACCAAGGCCGTGGCCGGGATTTCTGGAAGCGATGTGTTTGTTGGTATTGCTGCCAGAACGGTAGATCATCACCCTTATAGCTGTGTTGCTTTGCTTGAGTGTGGTATGAGCCGCTGCGTCCGCAGCTGTTGATGTTGTTGTTGGTGATGTTGTTTCCTGGTTGCTGTCATGAGTTAACTCTTCGTTTTGGTGGTAGCACTCTGACTCTGAGTGCTCTGACAGTTGCCTCGCTACCTAACACGTGCGTAAGTACAGCAATGAACACACGAATCATGAAGAGACCCTGGTGTTGTTGATGATGTTCTCATGATATTTCACATCGATCCAGATAAGATTCGCTTTTGTCGCGTTGTAGGGTAGAAGTACTAATCGTTTAACAGTAATATGCGCTAATAACATGCAATGAAATTTTTCCAATACCGGCTATAATCGTAGTAACAGTGTAATCAAAACAGTAGTAATAACAACAATAAGTCTTGTCATAGTTAATATCTATGACATTAATAACAATAGTAATAATGAGGATACCAAATTAGTACTAACAACGAAAATGCTCTGTTAGTGTCAATATTAGAACTATTGTTAGAGTTACCGAAAGTTACCGTTATTGTTGTTGTGTCTCCTATTCCCAATATTGAGAATGCTAGTACCGTTATTTTTGTTATTAGGCATAATAGTCATAAATACTCTTAACCATCACATTAATTTTGCACGTTCATCAAATTATTGGTCGTTCTTTGCATGCGCCCCCCCTCCCCCGCACATAGTAGGAGATGCTCTAGACCTACTTACAGTTGTAAAGGGAAGCTGCAAGGAAGTCGCCGCCGAGATCGTCTACACAATTCTGCAGAGTCTCAGTCGAATGAATTTGGCTAGGGAAGCTCAAGTAATGTAGGGGCCTAAATCAACCTTTTCTATTTTGAGGGTTCCTCAGCAACATTATATGTAGAGTATAGTGGGCCCCAAAACCCTATTCCAGTTATTAGGGCCCTAAACCAGGGCATTGGAAGCTCGGAAAGATGCTTCCGTCTTCTCGAAGGTCTCCTAACGCGTAGAGGAGCCCGTTTCTGTTTATGGGTATCAGAGCGCTGGTGCGCACTAGGGTTTAGGGTTTAGGCCTTACGTTACATTCAGTTTAGATATACCATGATATACCGAGGAACCTTAACACATGATTTCATTCGTCAGTCAGGCCACTGTATTGCATACTCGTGTACCATAGCTGCCGCAGAGCAGTTTGTTCCAAGCTCAAGCAGGTAATGTAGCGGCGCTGCAATCCTTATGCTTAGAGCTTCTGGTCGATGAGGGTGAAGTTGTGAGTTCAGTTACTGCGTCTTCCTGTGAACTTTGCCGGCTTAAAGAGAAGGGATTTGTGGGGGTTTCAAGCTTCTAGGGTTTCGAGTTAGGCAGGTGAGGCGCACGCCGGTCAAGTACAATGCTAGCCGTGACCAACAATCTTTTGTCATATTTGGGTAACATTTTATTGTTTTGGTACTTAAACCCAATAAGGAATATACATGTAAATTTTTAATCCAAGCCCAACCATGAACTAGAAGCCTGTAGCATCTTTGCACAGCCAAGCTCGAGAGGAGTCGAGCCGACTCGAGCCCAAAGATATTAGGAAGATTCCAACCCAGTGTCGAAGATTTGCGACGGTTGTTTCCATGGATAAGCGGCTGCGACCTCCCCCGGCACTGCCACTGCCGCTCCTACTACTACTCCTCCTACTCCTACTCCTGCTTCTACTACTACTACTACTACTACTACTGCTACTACTACTACTGCTACTACGACTACTACTGAGAGTACTGAAGTGTTGCTATGTACTACAGATATCTCTTGGGGGTAACTTAAATTACTCTACCCAACAAGGGGTTTGTTCAGGCTTATAGGAACCCAGGGCTGTAGGGTGCAAGGGATTCAGGGATGAGGGCTTTATGGGCCCAATGCTTCAAGGCAGGACGGGTCTAGGAGGAGAGTCTTCTTGATATTGGGTTTTGATTCTCTGCCTTTATTCTCCTCGGTTTAGGTTTTCCACCTGGATGCAAGCCAGCAGTCGATGCGTTTCCAAACTTTGCTCACATGTAGCCCTCAGTCTTGAACCCTGTGCCGTACGGGCTTATAAGCTGTGTATGCCCTAATTACCCCAAACTCAACCGTACCAGGAACGACATCGGAGACGTTGCCGGCATGAGCGGCCTCAAAGCCTTTCGCATCATTCGCGTCACGCGAGTCGTGAAGGCTCCAGCCTAAACAGGAGATAGAGTAATCAGGTTATGTAGTAAATATCTTACTTCTCTCTCAGATAGTACCAGTATGCAAGAAAGAAGGACAGTGGTGTTTTATCATGACATACGAGGGTCCAGGGGTGTCTCTGCAGTTTCTAGCAAGACCATTGCTATTTCTCAGCTTAAGTTCATGACTCATTGCAACTGGATTCGGCCGGCCTTTTGCAATGAAGGCCCAGAGTGCATGCAGATTTTCATTGTAACGGCAGGCGAGGTGAAGTCACGAAATTTGGTGGACGCTGCTGTTTTGGAAACTAAACCTTAAGGCCTTAAGGTCTACGCCCTAAAAGCCCTGAAACCCTGACGCCCGAAACTCTAAAGTAAAACAGGCTTGAGAGTGACGAGGCTGCTAATACGTCTTGAGTCCGGTTGGGACATGAACTTCCTCCCTCGAGCTTCTTCTTGGTCGAAGTAGGGCCTGGTATAGGGTTTAGGGGTTTAGCGTTGCATTTTTTGTTTGTGTCGAGGCTTTGGGGTTTAGGGATGGTTACCGGAAGGGATGTACGCCCACGGCTTGCAGTATTGTGTATTCCAGGTGACCATCAACACTGCTCTCCTCTTGAGCGCAGAAGTGCAGCTTCAAGGATGTAAGAAGTTGAAACATCCAAGGCCAAGGATTCGAAGTGTCTACAGAACAAAGTCGAACGCTCGGCGAGCGAAGTATCAGGATGCAAAGTTGCTACGGTCATTGCTGGCATGTGAATATTGTGAGTGTTGTTGGTGATGCTGGCCATGCTCATGGCTGATGGCGACGATGAGACATTCAGATCGAGGAGGATGATGGTTGCAGTTCTGCTGAAAAGTGTCACCGTCAGTCTGATTAACATGTCCTAGAGTTGCATGTGATGCTTGTCTAGATGACACTTTCGTGGCAGGTGGTCCGCTTGATGAGAGTCTTCCGCTTCGTGCTTCTTGGTCTCTTTAGCACTTTACTCAAGGAAGTGAGGCTGTATAGAACCCGTCTGATGAGAGTACTGTTCAAGGCGTTCTGTACGGAAGTTTCCGAAAATTAGGGGTACGGTATTTTGGGGTCCTTATAAGGAGGATCCTACTATTTAAGGTACTGTATTAGGGTCCCCTATTTTCGGAAACTCCCATATTGCACAGCATCGTGTGCAATCGCAAGTAGCCCATCATGTAGGTAACCTGGCTCCTGGTGTCACTTCCAAAATAGTAAGGAACCCCAATAAAGGCCCAATCTTTCTTAATCAGGTTCCTTTTTTACTGATTAGGGAGACCCCTTACAGGGGGACCCTTCTTAACCCCACTTCTGGCTCTCTGGAAAGGGATTCCTACGGTTGATGATATAAGTCCTGCATTACCCATAATAAGGAATATACCATAATTCCCATAGTTTAGGACGCTTAAGGTAATGCAGGGTTTGCATCATCAACCGTACTAATAAAGAGTCCAAGCCTCAACTTAGCACACAAAGCGGCTTTCACGCACAACGACACCACGATTAGGGAGCATCGACGGCAGTCCACAAGCAAGGCAGTGGCGAACCCTGTCACCCAAAAGCTTATCCTCCTCCAAACTTGAAGTGAAGCTCTAGTCCCAAAGATCCTAGGTCATTGACCCACACTTTGAACCTTACGATCTCAGGGCCCCGGTCTCGAACCAAACCATGCTCTCATCAATAAGGACCCTGAGCTGGATTCAGGGATTCCTTACTACCTCGAAGAAGGGGCCTGATAAGGGTCATGGGTCTCGCAAGGCCCAGATAATCCCTGTTCCTCCCCCTACACATGGGCTCCATGGTAGTTCCTTTTTGGGCTTCATAAGAATCCTCTGAGGTAGTCCCAAAACGAACTACCATGGAGCCTATGGGTAAGGGTCTTTTGAGCTGAGGATGGCTTTTCGGACGCTCATCACATCGATTGCGGATACGAGCCTTGCTGTTCAGATTGGCGGGTGTGTGTGTGTGTGTGTGTTTCAATCAGGCTCCCTTACTTATGGATTTGAGGGCTTTGGACTTGGGCTTTTCAAGACAAGGGAACTAGGTTTATAGTGCCAAACTCCGACAGGACGAGTTTTCCATGTGTCTGTTGAAGAGATGCTTTTAGGAGTCAAGGTCCCCTTTCGTATTCGCTTTTCTAAACTACAGGATGTCGCAAATCCAGAGGAAATCCTGAACCGTAAACAGACACAGAAACCCTACCCGGACCTTCCAAAATCACTTCATTAAAGAATATACCTTCATTCATATTCTATAATCGTTTACCTGGACCCTCCATGTACCCCCTATTAGACCCTAAGTAACCATTCATTTGCGACCATATACCCCTATTTGAGGGTACAAGGAGGGTCCTGGTAAGGTATGATATTGGAAGGTCTTTGGTTGTTGAGGCCATGAGAACCCTCGCTCAGAGCGCACCAACCGTACGGGATTCTGAAACCGTTGTGGGGGTTCAGGTTTTGGAGTTTAGAGTTAAGGGTTTAGGGTTTAGGGTTCGAGTTTTGGAGTTTAGAGTTTAGGGTTTAGGGTTCAGGTTTTGGAGTTTAGAGTTGGCGATTCGTCGTTATAAGGCTTGCTGCCTACAGGGGCCAAAGCTGATATAAACATTCCGAGTGTGTTGGGCTTACCCTAAACCCTAAGCCCCAATGAAAGCTTGCTACCAGGGCACTGTTTCCTAACTTCCAGGCCCTTTAGCCTGGTTTCACAAAGAGGTTGTCTGGTAAGATACATTATTCCTTCGGGTTCCGTCATATATCTAATGTGCATTATGAAACCGACAACAACAAGCCTCATTCTAATCATTAAGCCTGGCATATTTAAAGTGTGTGCTTCGGGGCTTGGTACTTAGATCCACATGTACTACTACGATCAAGGTCTTAGGTCTGGGTATTCCAATTGGGTTTAGGGAGTTTAGGGTTTGAAGGCTTAAGGGTTTAGGGTTTCGAGTTTACGGATTTAGGGCTTAGGGGCCACGAGTATCCAGTATAGTTACAAGCTTTCCCAAACTGGGGCCACTATGTGTGCTGCTTCTTTTCTGTGGCACAATGGCATTATTTTATGCATCTGTTTTTTTTCGCAATGCCCAGTCCTACAACAGTGCCACTCTTTTTGCACCGCACCTATGACAACAGAATAACATAGCCAGCTAGTGACGCCGAAGATGAGGCAAGAGTTGAAACACAAATCGCAGCGCAAGCTGTAGGTGGAATAAGCCATGAACACGGGATGGTCGCCGTGTCATGGGTCGTGGTTGTTATCGTCGCCGGCGGGGTTTTCATCAGTCCCTAGACCTACTTTCTGAAGCTTCCACAACTTCTGGATAGTCTCATAGCCAATGCCCCGCAGTTTAGTGCTGCAAGGTTGAAGTCTCTTTTTTGGGCCCTCATGCTGCTCGCAGTGATCGTCTACGTCTTTGCGGTTGCTTGGCGTGGTTATGGAGAGACCTGACAGCGAATCCACCGTCCGATGGATTCCATAACTGTAACATCAATCCGAAACCCTACTTTCTATACTGTATAGCTACTTAGGAACCTGTAAAGGGCCCCGAAACCCGAAACTTTAAAGGAACCCTACTGTAAGTTCGGGTCCTTGCCGCAACAACGGAGGCCCCTGACCCTGCCAACAGAAGCGTAGGCGCTTGCACAGAGCACTGCAGCACACTTTGGGAGTGCAGGGTGAAATCGCCAATCCCTAAACCCCTAGGCCCCAAACTCTGGAACCGAAAGCTTGCAGACCAACTATGAGGCTCTAAGTCCTCTTCATCTGGGCTTTGTCGAAGATACTCTCGGACTTCTCAATCATAGACATCGGGTCTGTTTTCCGGTATTGAGGATCACTGCTTGTAGTGTAGGGTCTTTCCTCTTTTTTGACGTTCGCACATTGAGACCTCAGGTCCTTTTCACGCAAGCCGTGAACGCCTCTTGGCTTCTTCCTCGGGATCTTCTCTCTTCTCGGTTGCTGTGCACAGCTGCACCCACAGTCCCACTCTATAAACAAGACTACTACGCCCTACGCCAATCAAGCAGATTTGCATAGTCGGTGTTCGGATTCTTATCAGGACCCAAGAAAGTAGATTCTGTTGGGCTAAGACTTGAGATTATCGCACAGCTTCAGGGCAGAGCATGCTATTGCATCCACGCAGATTGGTTGTGCTGTTGGGGATTTCCCACTTAAAGTAAAAGCCAGAAAGTTGGAATATGATTATCCTAAACCCTTCTATGGTAAATTATAGGGTATCCTAATTACCATGAAACCATATTCCAACTTTCTGGAGTTCCCTTTAATCTTTTCAGTTTCGAGGGATGTCTGTTAGGCCCACCATCCCCTGACCGGCCAAACTAATGAGAGTCTACTCTATATGGGTACGTGGACCCTTATATACCCTATACCCCAAACCCTACTGGTACCCTATAGAACCCTTAAAGGAACCCCTTTAAAGGAACCCTATTTGGGCACATGGAGCCTTAGGGCTTCCCGTTGAGGACTACGTGCTGGACCCAGATAATCCGACGTTGCCAGACCGAGAGCTGGAAGCGAGTGAACGATACTACCGCTCGCTTTATCAGATGCTCGTCTTTTAGGGTTTACGGTTTAGGGGTTTAGGGTTTAGGGGTTTAGGGTTTAGGGGTTTAGGGTTTAGGGGTTTAGGGCTTAGGATACTACCGCTCGCTTTATCAGATGCTCACTCCCTTTTTGGTATTGAGTGCCTTTATAAGGAACCGAGGACTACAAAAAGGGAATAAGGGTACTACTGGGCATCTGGACAGTGTTAGGGTTTAGTTCTACCGCTCGCTTTGTCAGATGCTCGTCTCCTTAATCGGGGGCCTCAAAAGGTAGGAAGAAGGTCGGTGGGATATTCCCAATGAAGAGTCCTTATACAAGGGATCCTTAATCCCACCTACCTTCATCCCACCTTGTGAGGCCTCCGACTTAAAGGATCATGGGACTTGGTAACTAGGTTATTATCATGGTAGCTATACTTATAACTACCTCTTACTCAATGAAGG